AAAGATGTATTTATTTGTTATCAATACATTTTACAACTTTGTTTCTCTTTTTTTTTTTACCTGTCCAGGCAGTAACCCTTTTAGAAAAGCAATAAGCCTCTTGAAACCAGGTTAACAGTTATTTTTAGAACAGCTATGTTTTTTCCCTTTATCAACGTCTTTAATAAGATGCTCAAGACTGACTTAGTTAATCCTGCAACAACTGATTTAGGGTGCTTTCACACCTGGCTCGTTGTTTCAGAACCTGGCTCGTTCCCCCCCCTTAGCTCGGTTCGTTTGGGCATATGTGAACATGGCAATCGCGCCCGGATCCGCGCCAAAACAATCGGCCCGAGATCACCTGAAAGAGGGCTCTTCTTCCTAGTAGGTACATTTAAAAAATGTGTACCCGATGAATCCTGGACTCATGCTCAAAATGATAAATTAATGTAAGGACAGCTACAAAAAAAAAAAAGAGCTGTTGTTCCATCCTGACGGATGACAGCCGTGACGGCTAAGTGGAATCCTGGAAAATAAACCATTGAACTTTGACCAATGAGAGAACAGTTTACTCGCGCGTGACTTGTATTAACAAATTTGGTCCGTTTAGAAACTTTGCCGTGTGAAAGCGAACCGCACCAAGAATAAAAAGCAACATTGTAATAAGTTTAATCCCTGTTTCGGAACAAAGCAATCGATCTACAGGTGTGAAAGCACCCTTAGTTAATCCTATGTGAATATTGGATCCGTGATTGGGTCTTAAAGTGACAGCAGCCTAAAATACACCTGCTGCTGTCGGTGTCAATTTCTGTATAGTATTGAATACTAGCGTACTAATTTACCTATTTGAAAAGTAATGCCCTGATTATTTCATTTGTATAGTTGTTCTATTTTATTTATTTGCCCCCATTTCTTGTAATTTACTTCTTTGTTCTTATTCTATTGATTTTAGTTGTTAACATAAATAATTGCTATGGAATCGAAATTGGATGAGGTTGGCATCATCGATCATATACGTTGTGTCAGAAGGGAGGCCCTGTTGAAGTTTAGATAGATACTTGATTATTACAGTAGTCCCTGTTTTCACATGTATTTTAACCCCTGACGTGTTCATCAAACCCCATCTCTCTCTCTCTCTCTCTCTCTCTCTCTCTCTGTCAGATGGACGGGTCAGGCAGGCAGAGTGGGGAGCCATGGCGGAGCAGGCACCCATGGCGGAGCAGGCAGAGCGGGGAGCCATGGCGGAGCAGGCAGAGCAGAGCGGCCGGGTGATGACGGCAGAGCAGGAAGCCATGGCGGAGCAGAGACATGGACAGACCACTTGACTGTAACAGAACAAGCAGAGAGTTCTTGAATGGCCTCCTTGGCCATGAAAGGACAGGCAGTGAGTTCATGGATGGCCTCCATGGCTGTGACAGGGCAGACAGTAAGTTCGTGAACGGCCTCCGTGGCCCTGACAAGACAGTCTGTGAGTTCGTGAACAGCCTCTGTGGCCGTGACAGGGCAGGCAGTGAGTTCGGATGCGGACACCACCACCTCAGGAGGTTCTGCAGCGGATGCCGCCACCTCTAGAGGTTCTGCAGCGGAATCAGGCACAGAAAAGGCCCTTGGAACAGACTCGTGGATAGGAGAGGCCTCTGAGACAGACTCGTAGGCAGGAGAGGCCTCTGAGGCAGATTCATGGACAGGAGAGGCCTCTGGAGTGGACTCGTAGACAGGAGAGGCCTCAGGAGCAGACTCGTGGACAGGAGAGAGGACTCAGGAGCGCGGTGTGCAGCCCACACGTTCAAAATGGCGACAGCCATTACTTTAAGGGCAGCAGAGTGTGGCAGGACCTCTAAGATGGCGGGGCTTGAGAGCGCTGACATCACCGGGATGCCTGCAGCTCTCACCGACATCAGTGGTAAGTCCATCACGCTAGCTATCAGTTTTTTCAGTCTTGGCCCAAGCTCTACATCCGACTCGGGCGTGGCGGCCATCTTGGCCGGGGACTCGGGCGTGGCGGGCATGACGTGGGTAGGCTCTGGTTTGGCCGACATGACGTGAAGAGGACTTGGTGTAGCAGGCATGACGTGAGCAAGCCCTGGCATGATTTGAGCAGGTCCTGGAGTAGCAGACATTGCATTAGCAGGCTTTGGCTTGGCAGACATGACGTTAGCAGACTCTGGCTTGGCAGACATGAATTGAACAGGTTCTGACTTGGTAGATATGACATGAGTAAACTTTGACTTAACTGGCATGACGTGAGCAGGTCCTGGAGTAGCAGGCATGACGTGAGCAGGCTGTGGCTTGGCAGGCATGACGTGAGCAGAATTTTGGGAAGTGTCATGTTCCTTCTCCATGACACCAACAGTGTAAGCAGACCCACTCATTCTCAAAGCAAAATCTATATATTGCTCTAGAGACCAGTTTATTTTCCCCCCAGGTAGCTGGAAACGAATGGGTTCATTAAGAACCACCCGAAATATGTCCTTAAGGGCCACATCATTAAAATCCACTTGGTTGCAGAATCCACAAAAGTCCTGAACATAATCCTCAATAGGCCTGTCACCTTGATGAAGGCAGAGGAGGCGTGAAACTGCTGGGTTCATATTTTGGGTTGTGTATTCTGTAACGAATCAGTCCACTGAAGGCGAGCGTAGTGAGAACCCATGTGCAGTTTTATTTACAAGTCATCCAAACAATAAACAAAGACTTGACTTGACTAATCATAAACAGACTTGACGAGGCATAAACAGACTAGACTCACCGACAGCGGGTTACAACTTCAATACACGACAATGGCAACATGAGGGCTACTTATAGCAGACAATGAGGGTCACATGACAAGAACAACCCAATGGGAAACCAGACACATGACTAGGACAACCAATCAGGACATGACACATACACAAGGCAGAGATACATGAGGGCAAGGGAAGCATGACACTAACAGGGTGAAACAATTACAAAATAAAAGACATGGAAAGCATGAACATGAAACAAAACCCCAAACACCAAACCCCACATTACAGTGTCTAGAAGAAGTCCTGGCTGGTATAGATGTATTTAACATCTTTTTGTAGATATATTTATCACCCAACAAATTTATGAAAGAATAAATAATGAGATCCTGGTGGATGAGTGCTGATCTTTCAGTTCTATTTTATGGCGATTGGTAAATGCAAGAGCTGTCAGTTAGTGATCAATCCAATCCAAGCGTGCTCATGCTGTAAAACTGTTCCCGATTGGTCTTTACTCATCGGCCTAGCAACTAAACCCGCCCACCATACCTGGAATCCGGTTTCTATTGGTTGAATTTCCCAGCATTTTCAAATTGCATTGCATCATCATCGCAACATGATCAGATCCTGGATGTCCTATTCAGCTTTAGCAAAAAACTCTAAAAGGATAATCTTTAGATCTGTGCGTTGTGTTATGTTGTGTTTGGGCTTGTTTGATTTGAGAACACCTGCTCTAATTCAATATATGTGATCTGCTATGGTTTACTAATGTTTGGTGAAGCTACAAACTAAAACGCGGCTTACATGTACTTGGTATTGTTTGGTCTCCTGAAACAATTCTTCTTGTATTCTGCTAGTTGAGACATTTTCAGTGATATATGACACAGGGGTATCTGTTATGTATGATGCTTAAAAGATCACATTTTCAAGTAAAAATGTGACCCTGGACCACAAAACCAGTCATAAGAGTCAATTTTTCTAAATTTAGATTTATACATAATCTGAAAGCTGAATAAATAAGCTTTCCATTGATGTATGGTTTGTTAGGATAGGACAATATTTGGCTGAGATACAACTATTTGAAAATCTGGAATCTGAGGGTGCAAAAAAATCCAAATATTGAGAAAATCATCTTTAAAGTTGTCCAAATGAAGTTCTTAGCGATGCATGTTACTAATCAAAAATTAAGTTTTGATATATTTACGGTAGGAAATTTACACACTGTCTTCACGGAACATGATCTTTACTTAATATCCTAATGATTTTTGGCATAAAATAAAAATCAATAATTTTGACCCATACAATGTATTGTTGGCTATTGCTACAAATATCCCCCAGCGACTTAACACTGCTTTTGTGCTGCAGGGTCACAAATGGGATCTGTTATAGTACATACAAACTGAATACAGCACATACAGTTTCTGTGACAGTACAAAGCATGTTCATATTTAATGAGGCAAGCAGCATTAAGTTAATTATTGTTTATTTGTTGTTAAACAATTCATAGTAACATCCCTGGAGGGCCTGTCATTTTCTATCTTTTTTTGAAGCTGCGAATATTTAGATCATCTCTAACAAGAAGAAAAACAAAGATATGTGAACAAAGTTTCGGTCACTTGCGATTCATATACTGTACACCACCTGCTGAAGTATTTAAATGAGTAAATACCACCAAAGCAGATTGAACATGCAAACAGGATTTGGGGGATTATTATTATTTATTGGTTTTTAATCATTTAAAGTGTATTAAATTACTTATCATTTTTATTTTGTCTTCCCCGGGCGTCTAAATATCTACTCTGTGATTTTTTTTTTTTTTTCAGTTGATGCGTGAATAAAACTTAATTAAACATTCGCAATAAGCTTTGTGCTTTCTGGGTAGATTACTTACAAATTGTAGTCCGTTACTGATTACAGGTCACATGATGAAAACTAGTTATCAACATAATCTAAGTTACTTGTTTTAGGTAATGTAATCGGACTACTTTTAGATTACTTTTTTTTTAATTTTTATCAAATTTGTTTAAAATTACAAAAATATATTTTTTTAAAAAGCGAAGAGAAAGAAAATATATTGCATTTTTTGTTATCAACATCATACAATGCATTAAACATTATTAGACCAGGATTTCCCAAACTGAGCTTAATGTAAGAACTGCAGTGGGTTTGTGAGTTGATAAAAAGCTAATAATGAATTACTAAATCATAAAAGTTTAAAATACAAATAATTTAAACTCTCCAACGCTAAAAATATAAATATTTTATTTGTTTACTTTGTCTTGTGTGTTTGTCCATTAGGGCGTTATTTCAGCAGTATGGTCGGAAATATACAGCCGTCATCCCCACCAACATGTTTGGAGCCCATGACAATTACAACATTGAAGACGGTCACGTGATGCCGGGGTTGATCCACAAGACGTACCTGGCAAAGAGTGAGAGACATTTAACTCACAATCACATTGAGAGCGCCCCACATGTTCACATGGTAAATGTTGCGTGTTTGTGTTGTAGAGGAAGGTAAACCTCTGCAGGTCTGGGGTTCGGGTCGCGCTCTGCGGCAGTTCATCTATTCTCTGGATCTGGCTCGTCTGTTTCTGTGGGTTCTGAGGGAGTACGACGAGGTGGAGCCCATCATTCTGTCAGGTACTCGAGACGTGTTTGACGTCAGATGTGTTGGGTCGGTTTCATCAGAGCTCATTGGTTGATCATCAAATATCAAGATCATGTTTCTCTTTTTCTTCGTTTCTTTTTGTCTAGTCGGGGAGGAGGATGAGTTGACTGTAAAGGATGCTGTGGACGCTGTGGTTGAAGCGTTCGGGTTCGAAGGGGAAGTGATTGTATCCTTTCACACAAACAGTGTCTGGAGTTAGTTTTTTTACAGCTGGCAGAATAGCAGTCTTTCTTCTGTGGAACATGATAAGATATCTTTCAGTTCAAAAAGCATCATAAAAGTAGTCCATGAATGAACTAACCCTCTAAATGCTCATTCACACAGACTTACAGCTGAACCTTAACTAAGCGCTCTCAGTATGACACTAGTAAATCAGACGGTCAGATCAAGAAAACCGCCAATAACGCCAAACTACGCAAATACCTGCCAGACTTCAAGTTCACACCGTTCAAACAAGGTGATCAGCACAAGAGATGCAGCATTTAAGCAGTGTTTTTTCAATAGTAGTACAAAGTGGTGACCAAAAACAAGTCTTAATTGAAGTTTTTATTTTTTTCCAGCCGTCAAGGAGACGTGTGATTGGTTTGCAGCCAATTATGACACCGCCCGTAAATGAAGATCTTCACATTGTCTGTGGGGAGCTTGAACACCGTTCAACGCTGAAAAATTACTGATTGGACACTTTCAACAACGCTTAATCATTTTTACGAAGACAAAATCATTGGATACTGCCATCGAGGCTTTCCCTTCATTTTTTTTCCTACTAATTTCATCCCTTAAAATTCAATTCAATTTTCAATTAAAGTTTATTTATATAGCGCTTTTCACAATACAAATCGTTGCAAAGCAGCTTTACAGAAAAAAACAACAACTCATCTTTGATAATCAAAATTACATATTTAAAAGTTTTTTCCCATGTAAATAATTTCTTTGTCTTACAAATGGCTTGAATGTAACTCTACACCCTTACCTCATTGAGTATGCGCCAAACCATGAATATGCTTAGTAGTCCCCGCCTCCACTCAATCGCACCAGCTCAGACCTGCTCCATTTTCACTCAATTATAGCATATAAAGCGTGCAAAGTGCGCTCCCTTTAAAATAATTGAAAAGCTGTCTCCTGTCTTAGTTCATCATGATCTCACTAGGTTCTGTTATAATCAATGAAGCTTTACACAGCACAATGAATCTCTTATTTACATCACGTCTATACTTTGTTAAATGAGAGAATTTGCGAGCGTGCAGAACTCTGAGCAAAACTCCAGCGTTTTGAGCGTTGAGTGTATTCTGATTAGCTTAAACACCACTGATTGGCCATGTCTGTGATTGGCTATGTTACTCAATGCTGCAAAAACGTATAAATAGAAACCTTTGAGCGGATATTAAAAGTCACACCCCGCAAGTTGACGGGATTGGTTACATGTTTGTGACAAAGTCTTAGTTACACCGCAGTTTTAATGAGAAAATGGTCATCAACTGTGTTGACTGATGAATTTGAACATGATTTGTCTTTAAACGTATTAAAAACACCGGATAAAAAATGATTTTCACCATGAGGTCTTTAAACATTTTATTTGTGCTCTGTACTGTGAGTGGTGCTGTACATTTTCTTCTGTTTTACTAGTCTGTCAAACAGGGTATTTTCTGGGTTTATTTTCTAATGATATGTACTGTACATTTTAACAATACACCCATATTTAAAATAATGATGTTTAATGTGCTTTTTCTATGTTTTTGGAATATTTTAAGGGTTAATTTCATGCCCAGCATCATAAGTTTATATTGTGGTTTATTCAAAACAATGTCATGAAAAAAAGTGAGATTTACAAATAGAAGCTCGGAATTTTTTTTTTTTTTTTACATTTTTTAACTTGAAGCTTGAACTCTCACATAAAAAATTCTTAGATCCTTCAAGAGAACGACCACACATTTGTCTTGTTTTATCTGCTTTTGTAATTCATTTATAATCATTTAATAATTTATCATTGAATCAATCACACAGTATAATCGTTTATTGTAAAGCAGTGATTTCTCTGTTGCTTCTGTTTGGGTATAATAACATTTGTTGAATTAGTGCTGAACAATTGTTGAAAGTAAGCCTGAGTATTGAAACCGGCTATTCAATAAACCCTGCAGTTTTTTCAACCATCACTTCATTTCCTGCATTCTGCTCTTACACAACTTCCTATGTCTGCCTTGTGGCTCATAGAAGACAGGTTACGACAAAATGCAATGTTAACTGGTTTTGGATACCAAACTGGATGTCTTTGGATGGGATCTGGTAAAGAGGCTGGATCATAAGCTTTAACCATCAACTAAAACTGCCGGTAAAGAACTTTAATTTTTTTCTGCTTAGACAGAAGGTCTAAAATTGCAAAACTGTCTATGCTAAGTTGAACTGAAACCACACATTCTTGTGCAAACACAGTTAACTGATAAAAATGTAACCAGAGGATGCATCTCACTCTCGAGTGCCTGCAAGATAAAAGAGTTCTAGTGCTTTCCGACCCCTTCTAATCACAATCTACAAAATGCTGTGGAAGACGTCTTGCGTTGTTGTTCCGTATATTCACATTTGATCTTTGATCAATTGACGTCATCATTTCTCACCCGTCTTTCTCACAAGCCAGTGAGCAGAGGGCCTTGATTTAGTACTGCTGATGTAAAAGTTTTTCCCTTTTTTACAGAACTCAGAGAGCGAAAACAAGGAAACACCTGACTGCACTACAGAAACACCAGAGAGAAGGTAACGGTTTTGTCAGTTTCTTAAACATTTTAACGGAACTAATACACAATCTGATGTGACCGTTTTCTCAATTTAGACACCGTTTAGAAGCACAGAAAATTATCTTTTAATCTTAATTTGCTCAAAAAGAGTTTATAAAGTTCATTAATTGAGTGTTAATGTCAGTACTGTGATTTATGCATTATGGCCTTGTTTGACTTTTCTCATGCTTTAATGAAAATGACTAATAATTTTAAAGGGGTCCTATTATGCTCTTTTACAAAGTCTTGATTTTGTTTTGGGGGTGTACTAGAACATGCTCTCATGCTTGATGGTTCAAAAAACGCATTGTTTTTCACATAATTTACATTATTACAATTCCTTTCTCCCCAGCCTGGCACAAACGGCTCGATTAGTTCCAGCTTTGATGAAGGTCCGCCTTAGTATGTGAAGTGTATGAATCCCACGTGGTTGTCTGCGTATTTCTTGTGTTTTTTGGTCATAATGCACAAGTTGGCACCTCATAGGTGATGTGTTCCTATATGTTGACAGGACGTGCCCGTGGTTAAACTGGTTGTTACCAGTTTCACTTGTATGTAGTTTTGTGAGATGTAGGGAGGAAGCGAAATATGAGCTGGTACTTGGATCACATATGTGACCCTGGACCACAACACAAGTCATAAGGGTAAATTTTTTAGAAATTGAGATTTATACATCATCTGAAAGTTGAATAAATAAGCTTTCCATTGATGTATGGTTTGTTAGGATTGGACAATATTTGGCCAAGATGCAACTATTTGAAAATCTGGAATCTGAGGGTGCAAAAAAATCTAAATATTGAGAAGATCGCCTTTTAAAGTTTTCCTAATGAAGTCCTTAGCAATGCATATTACTAATGATAATACATTTTTGATATATTTACGGTAGTAAACCTACAAAATACCTTCATGGAACATGATCTTTACTTAATATCCTAATGATTTTTGGCATAAAAGAAAAATCGATAATTTTGACCCATACAATGCATTGTTGGCTATTGCTACAAATATACCCCAGCGACTTATGACTGGTTTTGTGGTCCAGGGTCACATATATATATATAT